GAGAGAGAGAAAGAAAGAGAGAGAAAGCAAGTGAGAGGAAAGGGTAAAAGGTGACAGAGAAAGAAAAGGGGTCACACCAAGATCGCAACAGTATATCATCATCGAGTTGACATTTATCTACCTCTCTATCCTTCCAATTCTCTCTCTCTCTCTCTCTCTCTCTCTCTCTCTCTCTCTCTCTCTCTCTCTCTCTCTCACTCTCTTTTTTGCTTGCAAGTGCATTTTTCTCTCGCTCTTCTAAATTCGTTTTTCTACTTCCTACAAAAAATGTTACCTTTTGGATTTTCTTGTTATTAACCAGGCCATTTTATTTCGTCCAAATCTTTCTGCATATATTTCTTTCTTTGGACTTTAACGATATTAATAGGATAAATTATAGTACTTTAAGGAGGATCGGTCCAAATGACAGTTATAAAGATCTAAGAACAAGTTTTTTCGAGAGTACTATTTACACTGAAATATTCTTTCTTCAACACAAAACAAAATAATTGTGATTGCATTTCTGAAAAATACAATAGTCAATTATCATTCCGAATATGAGAAGAAAATTATATTATTTCAAACATTTTTTCATGTATAATATATCATGTATAACAAATAATAGTAATTTTAATAATCAGTGATGCAGATGTTGACATTAAAATTAAAATATTTAGCTCATTTTTTAATTATGTTTATGTTTATAGACTATATTTTTGACAGAAAAGTAAAAGAAATTTCAACATTAAAATATGTTTACTGCATTTATTATTTATTTATAGAATCAAATATTGATTAAAGTAATTATATTAGTATTTAATTTACAGTATTGCAAACTGTACTTTTTAAAATCATTTTTGTGATAATCATTCTGATTTCTGTCTGTGCGCGTGTGTGTACGTGTGTGTGCGCGTGTGCGTGTACGCGTTCGTGCGTTAAAGAAAACTATTCTATTTTTTACTCATTAACGCTTGTGTGTGTATAGGTGTGAATTATATTTTTAAAAAATTAAAGTTTAAATAAAATAATTTAAATAAACTCTTTCTCTTATCTCTACAAAACTTATCTTAAATCACAAACAACATAGCAAGAATGTTTTTATTTTCAAATATTTTCTTTGAAAAGTTAAATAGATTAATTTCACTTAACATTTTTCTATTCCTCTTTTTTTTTTAGATCTCGTATGGTACAATATAATTATGTCTCTCAAGACTCCCCTCAATTGCAAATATGTCGCAGTTGTCTATTATTACTTCTCCCGGATAATCCTCATTTAACGGCCACTAAATGTATTTGCTAAGGAGTAGATGAGATCACTGCTTGATTTTCTTGAACCTTTCTTACATTGTTTCGCATTTTAATTCCCGGAACGATTATTAAGAAATAATTTTGGATGCAAGCTTTATCTATTCAATAAAAAGAAAAGAGACAAAGCTAATCACTTATCATCGATTAATCAATTTTTTATTTTAAATATATTCAAATCTAATAATATTATTTGTTAAAATATATGATTATCTATTATTTTTCCCTGATTTTTTTTAATTGATAAGTGCACTGATATAAAATTAACAAATATGGCCGTGTCTTTGTTAATTAACAGCCTTATTTGTTCAATTATTTACAGGAATGATATGATAATGATATTTTAATATAAAAATTTACATTTACTGTTTATTAGCATACATCCTGACATCCTTATTCAAACAGAATACTGTGATTTTATGTCTTCATTATGCAATCACGAAAAAAGTATTTCAGACTTCTGGGGGCCATTAATCTGAATTAGACACTATCAATGCGGAAACAAAACGTCGCGCGCTTGTTACGCAATTATAGCGCAATTTTTACATACTTTCTAGCTGTATTACGTAACATTTTTTATATTTAAAATGAAATAATAACAGACTAAAGTAATAATTATATATATTTTAACGTTAGAGAGAGAGAGAGAGAGAGAGAAATACGACAAGTTTTTAGTTACAAAGGACTTAGAATTCTTCTATTTTTCTTTTGTTTTTGATATCTAGTTAAAGATCTTTAAGTGTACAAACACTATCGTAGAGCACTTGAAAAGAGCAGAGATCTGTGATCAATCTCTTGTAAAACTGGTCAATTTCACTTTTTGTAAGTCTCCTTAATTTCAGTACTAAAGTGTATATATACTGGTCTATTACTTTATTAATTTTCATTACTTTTTATTTTATACGGAGTCGATCGGTTTGGATTATGAGGGATTTAATTAATGCTAAAATATTGATGTACGAAGGTGAAACGACGAATACACGTTTCGGCGACGCTCGTCGTGTTTTCCCGTTGTCGCTGCCGTCACCGATTTCCGAACGTTTCCGATGAAACGAAATAGCTATAAAGTAGGTGAGCAAGACTAGGAAGCTGATATATCCGGAGGGTTCACGTGACACCGATCCGTCCCCGCATCCGTTCTGGGTATAGTCCGCTGTATAGGTCATGCGGAGAGCTCCGGATTGATAACGCAGTGCCGTAAAACTCCTACTCGTCAGCGCCCTGAGCGAAGCTTTTTTGGCTTGCGGCATTAAAGTTGCGCTCCATGAATTTCACGATCGGTCCCAATCTTGCCCGCCGTCCTTGCCCCTGTCCGCTTAAGCTCTCAGAGTCGATCGCCGATCGATCTAAAATCACACAATCTGGTATTCGATTAAAGCTCGCATTGCTCCAAGTCTGATTTCTCGTTTTCATTTTGCACATCTCACGCTTGCGCAATATACCTGATATTTCGAAAAATAACAATATGTTTTGTGTGTCACACGGCATGATTGCTTGATAGCATTAGACACCGCAGAGGGGAACATCCCAAATGATGGGAGGATGTGCGGGAAGTGGCGCGGGAACCTCGCCGCTTACCATTTTGCTGCTCAGAATTTTCATCGGGGATGGACACCACGTGTCCACGGCGATTTTTTGAAAGTCAGAATTTTTTTTTAGACGCTGCGCACGAGAGTCAAGTATATTTTAGGAAGTTGTAGTTAAAGAAAGGAAGAACTAGTTAAAACAAGTTTACAGAGGTTTGTTTCGAAATTCGTATTTTCTGATATTCAAGGTCAGACACGTGATTCGTCCACCTTTCAGCAGCTTATCATTTTTATCTATCAATGTTCTTCGCCATGATTCTTTGAGATTACATATTTGTTGGTATTTAATGTTAACGGAAATAATGCTCTCTTTGCAAAGGAAGCGAACAGAGAGAGGAATATTAACAGCGAAGCTGAAAAGATTTTTATTAAAGCATATTGAGCTTTGACTGCGCCTAATGTACATTGATGCAATCGTATCTTTAATTGGTTGAGCAGTTTCCATCAATACTGATTGATGATGTCCATCAATACTGATTGAATGCGTCGTATGCCAAGCTGGGTTTGTAATAAACGGAAATTCTCAATCCTATTGGCTCAAGGATTTGTTTATAACTATTCATTCCAGTTTGATATATGTGTTTACCATATTGGTCTTTTTTAATACTTCAATGAATTTTGTTAGACGTTTTTCTATAGTATATGTAAGAATACTATGTATGTATTTTCATGTGTATTACATATGCATTTTTTACGCATCGCGTACCAAGCTAGATTTATAATAAACAGTAACTCTCAATTGTTTTGCTTCAAAACTTATTGTTTAAGGTTACTAATTCAAAACTGAAACATATATTTATTTCTGATTATTAATATTTTAATCCATTTTTGCCACACGCTCTTCTAGCAATGTAAAAATACTATGTACAAATACGATGTTTATAAAATAAATAAATTAGAAATTTAATTGCTCCTGCTAACAATAATTCATTTTTTGCGCATATAAACATCAGATGACTTTTTGGAGAATTTACAACTCATTTTTCCTTCAAAACTTTTAAACTGACGTCTTTTGGTGTCTTGCATGTAAAAGATAACTTTCAGAGCATCTTTAAAATATAACTTTTTGCATATATATATTAATATTGCTACATATTAATATTGCTATGTAATGGCAATTGGGTTCCGTATAGGACGTAATACCGTATCGAAAATCATTTCCGAAAGAGTCAAGGCATTTGGAACGAATTGAAAGGAAAAGTTTTTCTTAACCCAACGGTAGAAAATTGGATTAAAGTAGCTAGAGACTTTGAGGACCTGTGGAATTATCTGAACTGCATTGGAGCAATAGATGACAAACATGTCGACATTGATGTAAATATCACATTATTTCTGTATTAATTTAACAGTATTTGAAATGTGTTATACGTCATGACTTTATATAAGTTTATTTATTTTATTATGCAATGTATTGGGTCTGTGCCGATTTTGCATTTGAAATCTACTTGATTTTCGGCACAGACCCAATACTACGTGTATCGTGATAAAATTATGATAAATAATTTTTTAAAATGAGATTAACTTCGTCCTACAAATGGAAGCTTATTTATTTAGTTTTGAATTTGGATCTATATGAGTTTCAACTTGAAAATGAATGTTTTTAGGCGTTTTAATCATTCCTAACGCAAATTCGTTTCATTGTGCAAATTTTGATTAACTCTCTCGTGATGAATTTTCATTTATTAGAGCATAGTCGGTGTGTAAAAACATGAGGGAAAAGTGAGAACGCCCAGATCAAAGGTGCCGACAGAGAGTGACTACGTTTCCACCGAGGGTCAGAGTCGGGCTGGAGTCGGGTCAGAATCGGGTTGGGGTCAGCGTTTTTGCGGTGGAAACACCAAACCGGGTCAGAATCGGATTGGGGTTTGGTGTCTCCACCGCAAAAACGCTGACCCCAACCCGATTCTGACCCGACTCCAGCCCGACTCTGACCCTCGGTGGAAACGTAGTCACTGTGACTGCACCGTTATTCATGCTCAATGGATATTTGCACGTACACCACACTTCAAATTTCGCGCGCTATTACGTCACTACGTATGCTCGGTCAGCCCTGTGTAGCGTCGGTTGGTATCGATACTACAGGTATCCTAACCCCACAACCGTAGGATTTTAAGAATTAATAACTCTCTTATTAGTGTCGAGCGACGATTTTAACTCTCGGATTCGTGTTTTGCAGGCAAAAATACGCGGTTCTGTAAAATTTCATGAAAAACGGTGAGTAAGAGACTCTCCTTCGGTATTACCCAAATCTTTATTTGGAACATCGTATCTTTCGTTTTGACCGCCCAACCATATCATAAGAAGTCATCTTTCGTTTATCACCAGAAACGTAATGACGTTGAAGCGTTAATGCGATTCATAAGCATCATGCGTAAGTCGGAAAACAACGACAATCGCACAATACACGCCGCTTGAAATGCCAAGGTCTCGTCGGCATGAATTGTTACTGTAGTAACGCCAATTCGTGAGGTTATGATTACGACGAGGGACGCTCGTTGCCGATGCGGCCCTAACTCCGCTGGGATGGCTGTAAACAAGATTTTATACTTTGGTTTGGCGTTGGTACTGACGAATCTGTACGTGGCCGCTAATAACGGTGTCACCAGTGTCAAGTGTCAGTTTGGTAAGCCAATGCGTAAACAGGTGTCAGCCGAGCCCCTGAATGGCATGTGCCTGCGAGATATCGCGTCCCACCTGTCCAAGACATTGCAGTCCATCGTCGACGAGGAGCTCGGCGCTTCTTCATTTCAGAAGATGATTGACAAGATGGAATTCGTGAATGCCTCCGGCAATCTGGATGCAAAAATCAGTGCCTTAGTTGACAAATTTGACAATAAACTAATGTCGTACATTAACATCTTCAAGCAAGTCTACAAAGTTATATACAATATACTGACGCGCAATCCGCTCCCTGCCATTTATTCTAGTCAAATAGTCGATTACGATATGATGGAGATGAACAGAGTTTCGGACATTTGTACTGATATCATGAAAGGTATCTACTTATTAAAGCAATTGGTGGTTGCGCTTTAGACGTCGTAATGTATCGTTGAGTTTCATTGCAGAACTTGCGACGCAGTTAAGAGGTCAAGAGTGGAAGAACATGCATATACTGCCAATAAACGAACCGGAGGCAATGTGTGGACCACCTACAGTGACTCACAATATCGGTTCTCTTCTGTTGTCCCAGTACTGCCCTGAAAAAAATGTCGTTCTGCTTTTGGAACACGGCGTATCCATGTCTGAGCCAGAGCTAACTTTAATTCAGATAACGGCCAAAACCATTGTAGATATGCTTTCTGAAATGGACAATGTTACTGTTGTGGGCCTTGCCAATTCTACGCCTCTGCTTTGTAAAGATAGTTTGTTGAGGGCAACTGATATTAATAAGTTTCAACTAACCCGTTATATTGATAGCTTAACTAGAACAGGTAATTAGAAATTACTAGATAAGTGTCTTTCAGATTTTTTTTATTTATAGCATCATTTTTGTTTCCGTTTTTTAGTTAACAGTCTATCTACTTTTTAGTATATTTTTATTCTTATTATTTCTGCTAACGAAACAATATTTTCCGTTCAAGATTTCATTTTTTCGTTATCTGCAAGATTAAAAATCAAATTTTTTATTTAACAATTGATTTAGTGTTAACCTATTCAGTACTTTTTCGTTATATTTAAATATATGTATATGTTATATAGTGTTTATAAAAAAAATATATATAGATTTCAACTCTGAATTTTCTTTCAGATTCGAGTGAGGTGACAAAGATTGATTTCAGAAAATTAACGCAAAATCTAAGGGGTGAAGTGCTTATTATGCATTTGACTAATAAAGTACAAAATATATCAAATGTACAAAAAATTTTTGAAATAATTTCGGGAAAGTTTAAGGCTTATCTCAAAACTGTTATTGTCACAGGTAAGCTAGCTTCATTATTTTACTTCAATTATGTGGAAAACTATTTTATATCGTCGTTCGTTTTTAGACCAGCATCCGTCCACTGTTATTAAAAAACTAAACAATGACAGTATCGTAATTCTTCCAATGCAAAATGTTCTTGGATATGAGATAGGAAAACTATTTTCTTGTTTGCAATGCCTTGATCAACAGAAGAAAGATTTTTATGTCTCAGATCCATATATTGAGCCATATAGCAAGACAATGATGATATCTATTGGCCAAGTCACAAAGACTGCATTATTATCCTTGGATATAAAATTACGCGATTTTCTTGACGACATAACATATTTTAATGTTGGTCCGAACGTACATGCTATATTCTTCGATAGCAAAGGAGTGGTTTGGATGCATAAAAATTTTCCTAGAATTGAGACAATAGTTGAGCAATCGCTTAAGGTGCATTTACAAGATATTGAGAACATAGATAGTCAAATAGTGTTAAAAATGATAAATGAGAGCAAAGGAATTATGGATGTATATACAAAATTGGGCAAGCAGGTAAAATAATATCCATAAATAAGCATTTTTTCCAAATATAAAATACGTGATATTTCCCTTTAATGTTACGATGTAGAAGCGGTATAGATGGAAACATTTAATTTATCATGATTTGATAATATGTCTGGTATCAACAACTGAGGAGAGAGTATTGCCTATCGCAAGAATTGTGCCTCCTCTGCCAGCAAATATGTTACACCATCGCCTCGATCTTATGCTTCAAACTATCGTTGACAAAAACACACTCTGCATTTACAGAAACAAGATTGTAACTTTATGTAAGAGAATAAAATATTTTGTCTTGGTAACTATTCTTCATAAAATTTGTAAAAATATCAAACTTTTTTTTTGTAGCAATGGGTGTAATTTATCTATCACCATGGTGCTTTCAATCTCCAATAGAACAGTTGAAACAACTGGAAACAGGTTCAGCTATAAATGTACAAAGCTATATGGCATACATAAAAGACGTAACAGGTCTGTTGGCTAATCCCGGTTTGCATCCATCTGTAAAACCAGATGTAGCAATGCTAGCACAAGTTTTAGAACATTTCAAAAAGCAGCATGTCGAGGGTTCCCTAAATAAATTTGTAATAAGAAGGTGCGTATAATTTTATACAAGTTACCACAATGACTTATAAAATAATATTTTTTAATTTTATTTATTTTGTTACTTTAGATACATTACCAGTACGGTCAGTGGAGTATTGGAAATATTTCCAGGGATGATATTAGATTCTAATTTTGATCCTAAAAGGCGAATGTGGTATGGGAAAGCACTGGAACAACTTGATAAGATAATCTTAACTCCACCTTACTTGGATGCAGGTGGATCGGGTTATGTGATTACTCTAAGTAAAACTGTGAAATATTCTGTGGCGACTGGAAACGCAAATTATGCGATTGCTATCTTGTCTATGGACGTTACAATGGGTTATGTTATGAGATTATTGATGGAAATGTTTCCATTCTGTTATGATACAACTGTAAAGTGTTTCCTAATGGATGATAAAGGCTATTTGGTATCGCATCCGAAGTTGTTGGAAGCGACAGATAAGATTGAACAGCAACATTTAACGCACAAAGAACTCTTAGTGGCTAATGATATATTAAATCACGGATTGTTCGTGAAAAAGAAATCTTGCGCCAATTATTTAGATGGTACTGTGCAAAGGTACTATCAGTTTAACACGTCGCTTGATGAAGTACTCACTAATATAGCACACGGCGAGCACTGTGTTAGATATCAAGTAGCTGCTGTACCAGGTACCAATGTATTCCTTGGTGTTGTCAATATGACAACTCAATGTAACTTACTTAGAGCTTTTTGTCCATGCAGCACAGTAAGTTCACAATTTATTGTACTTTTTTATTCTAAAATATTTCTAAGCTTATTACATGATACATTGTATCTGTTCATGGAATATTACAGATGGATCATTCGTGCTTGAATTGCAAAAGTATGGAACAAACTGGTTGTGAATGTCCTTGCGAATGCTCCTTGTATTCGTTCAGCTGTACACAGCAAATTACGAACGATCTGGATTCCTGTCCGCCTACGTATGAACAGGGATCGAGTTTACAAACTCCGTGGATAGAGTCAATGAATTTAAAACCGTGCCCATCTATCAATTGCAAATCATATACGACAAAGAAAGACTGTTTGGGTATCGTGGATTGTCAGTGGTGTCACGTCGACAATGATGGAGAGACTCCTTTGCAACAACCGTTTTGCTCTGACATGTCCGTATGTTTCAAGGGAATTCTTGGAGCTCCGATACCCTACAGCGATGGCACTTACAGTAAGTTTGTCTTTTTCACATCTTTGTACATCACCATTAACCATTAAATAACAAAATTATACCTTATATATTTTTCCAGATTCACAAGCGACAGACGAAATCTCAGTACGAGAGTGGCCGTCAGTTGGACCGGTAGCTGGTGGAATTCTTGCACTATTCTTGATCGTAGGCGTCATTCTGTTTTGCTACAGACTCCGATCTGTGCACTCGAGTCTAGAGCATCAATGTTTGCATCTCCACACCTCGCCTGATACACTGAGAATGACGCATATCGAGGGCGATCCGGAACCGGCAGAATTGGATCAGACTAAGAATAATTTGGATTGTCTCGTGAGAGACACTATTGCACCTATATCACCGTACAGAGTTTCGACCAATTACAGAAGACCACCCGGTGGGGACAGCGATCATGGATATAGCACAATGACGCCTCACGATGATTCTGAACAACAGACATTCGCTTCCGAACCGTTGTTAGCCATCGACAATAACGTCGAATCAGATTTAATCAAACAATCCGACATCGGAATGCCTTCCCTTATGACATATTTGGGATCGCCGCATCACGTTTTGGCGCCTGTAACTGTCCATCGCGATATGGAAACAAATTACTGTTGAGTATTAAAACAATTCACTGCCATTTATTTAAAAAGGTAAGACAAAACGTAATTTCCTCGAAACATTATTGTAAGAAATCATCACAGTTTTCTTCATAAAATATACAATAATCTCAGCACATAAGAATTATCTGGTAAGTTTATCTAATATGTAACTAAGTTTTTTGTGATTTTTGATACGAAAGACATTGTATTATTTTTCTACGAGACTGTTCATATTATTTTTATTATTATCGAGAGACGAAAAGCACGAATTCTTTATTATGCTTGAAAACAGACATAATTTTTATAAATTGTATATAAATACTAAGGCCTTCCATAAGTGCTAATAACATTTGATAAAGTATAGTATTAAAAGCTTCCCTGAACAAAGTATTAGAAATTATGAAGCTAATTTTATAAAGTAATTTAAATAGCTACTATATATACATATATATATATATATATAAAGCGAGGAACTTAAAGTACACTTTTATAAATAGATAAAATAATAACAAATTATATTTATATAATTCTAATTATATAGATCGAACAATCTATAAATGTAAGATGTCAAAGTATATTTTATACAAATAATATAGTTTGCCAAGTAATATCTCTTAAATCTTTATGTAAGAAAATTAATAAGATAATAGTATATTCAGATATACATGTAGGGTGTCCCGGAAGTTTATAATTATCGTATTATCCGTTACTAGTTTTACAATTTTTTATTAAATTTTTTTCTAACTAAAATTATTTTCGAATTACAACCATTTAAAATTAGAATTTTTTACACAACAAATTTTTATTAAATAAAAATCTTTTATTTAAACCATCTTTTTTAAAACTTTTTATAATGGAACTTCTTTATCTTGAAATGTATTTTATATTAAATTATTTAAAAAATTCTATCTGTCCATGTTATTGTATTTTTCGAGTGTTGGAAATTACAAACTAATTATTTTTACTCTGGTGTTTTTCTGAAAAAAAATTGGGTACACTCTAGGATAACGAAAAAGGATGCACAGCAATTTACATCATGAATAGAGTTCTGGTTAACACTTAAGTTAAACATAAAAATCGTTTTCAAAAAGATAATTTGAAAATTTTTGTTTGAGCTCTGCCATGCTGATGTAAATGATGTAAAAGTTTTGTAGATTAGAAGGGTCAAAAGTGGTCCGTTCTTGGCTTTTCGACATAGTAAGTTTCAAAAAATTCATCACATCGTTTTATAGATCTTTACTAAATATATAAATAATTATTATAACTCATTAAGATCTGAAAAGTGATATAAAAGGTAGGAAGGTACAATATTTAAGAATATTGCTTCAGAAATTTTAACTTAAAAGACAAATATCTCGTAAAGAAGTTATAAGTAAAATTGCATATCCACGAGAAATTACCAATCTTCGCCGGAACACCCTGTATATAATTAAGAGATAAAATTTTATAGTATTTTACTTATAAATAATGAACATTTTATAGTATTTATTTTTAAATATTGAAAATTAATTAAAATATAAAATAGTGAAGTAAATACCGAAATACTACCCTCACACGGTCCGTGATTGAATCATATGGTTGAATGTTCAATTAATGATTAATGATAACATAACAGATACATACACATTGAAACACTTGTTTTGTTTTTGAATTTTTTGATGATATATAAGACTGCCGATATTTTATTACGCCCCATGACTTATTTTTACCAGTTTCTCTTCTTTTTTTAGACCTGTACTGCATACTTACATGTATTATCATACTTTATATAAATAACAGTGCCAAAACGTTAAAAATATAAAGAAATAAATTGTGCAAAATAATGTTAGAAAACTATACAGAGTATACAGGGTGGGTAAAAAGTCTTGGATCTCTGAACGTAAAAATTCTCGTTCTTTTCATTTCCGAAGTTAAAAATGAAGGTTTCCATAAAAAAATTTCAAGTTGACCTTGAAATGACCTCTAAATTTGACCTCAAGGTCAAAGTCAAGATCGCCGTCAAATGCCCCACCTTACGCCATACAACTTTTGTCTGAAACATGTTTTTCTACATCTCATTCCTTCCAAGATATTTCAGGGATTTGGGACTCTTTCCCCACCCTGTATATAGAATCTAGAGTGTACTATTTCTATTATATCTTTGTTCTCTATTCTTATGCGAATATATTTAAGTATTTTTTCTAAAATGACCGTAATTTTATCAATGCAAAGCGTCATCATAATGAAAATAACGAGAGGAGTGAGAGAAATCTAGAATATGTTAACGACAGAACATGTAGATTCCAGTCGTCCTTATCAATGCAAGACTATTAACGTAAAACGAATATAATTTTAACAATGTTTACATGAATATTTTTATATAGAAACATTAAAAGTAACCTAAAAATAAAATTTATATTATTATAGCAGTTACAGTATAAGATTTTTTACAAAAGCATTATTTAAAGTTTTATGATTATTGTATTTTATTGACATAATACAATACATTTTTATTTATGCGTATTTCTTCGATATATCTTAACATAAAAGTAATATAATCGTAATAAAAGTTCAATTTCCTGTAGTTTTTAGTTAAAAAGATAGCAGTGATATAGAAAGTATTAGAATGTAGTATCAAGCCTGCACAACTGGCTAAAATAACATACTTGCTTGCAAAAAAAATGCGCCGAAAGGCGTTTATTCAACCAGTTGTACTGACTTAATTTATGCTACAATGGCGATGATGAACTTACATGAGATATGCGTATACCAGTTTGATTTGTACTTACAAAGAAAACTAACATCCGTCGATGTATTGTTAAGAATGCAGTGTAAAATACTATTTTATATTTGATCTTTTTTTACGATGTATACTACGCACAAAGTTTGTGCCGAGCGAGATATAATACATTGTATTAGTGTTTTTTACTATTAAAGTCTGCATTTTACTTTATTAAATAAAAAACACATTACTGCCTGTATCCCTTTCTACACAACATAAAATACCGGGGACTAGGGCTGGTGATTTCCTTCGAAGGCTTCGATATTCGAAGCTTCGAAGTTGACTTCGAAACCTTCGAAGCTTCGAAGTTATCAAAAGTAACAGCTCTACTGGGGACATTGTGATCCTACAAAAAGGAAGATATGTGGAGGGTATTGAGTTTTTCGCATATACAAAATGAGTATGAGATATTTTAGATATTATATTATTCTTCCTTACAAGTAGTTCAGTACAAGTACACGGTACGATGATGATCAAGAAGAATATTAGGATAACTAAGGTATAAAGTCCGGATTTTTTCTCAAGATTACAAAACCTTCCATGATCGGTGTCAACGGTATGTACTCCTCTGTAGCGAGTTCTGCTCTCTCACCGTATGCCAACAACACTGGGGTGGTATGCGTTTGGAAGCCCGTGATGGTCTTCGGTTTGCCCGCTTGGCCTACGACGTCGACGGCAAGTCCGACTCTTACAGGCACGGCCAGTGGATTTAAATCCTCGTCAAATGTCACCAGCATTCTGGGTTGCATTGCAGCAGCCAGCGTGTACAGGAGATAATGTGAACGTCCAAGAATAACTGAAAACGTATAACGTCAATAAAACCAAGTCGTGCTTGACATTATAGTATTTTTATATGGTAATTTTTTACATCTGAAAATTTGATAATGCAAAGAATTACAGAATTAATCAACCGCAGAGAAATGTCAGAAAATAGAATCGAAATTCTCTTATGTGTCACGAATCTCTACAAATGGATTATTAAAGAAACTTGTTATCATCGTAATAAGAATTTTCATAGAAAAAATAGCTTATCCGCTTGCAAAAATTGAAATGCAAATAGCAAGAAACGTATCTTTAAATCTATCTCTCCATGTCGAGAATATACACTCACTGTTTTTTACATCCAAGAAACCGATTAGCGTGGACAGAAGGCCGGCAAGAGCAACAGGACTAAGCAGCTGTCTGTCGCTGTGGTAAGGCGATAGGGTAAGCGTGCCCTTGCCCAGATGCGTCAAGCCTTGTGCGATACGCACCATAAAGAGGTTGTTGGGATCCTTCGCGTGAAACTGGGCCAGCTGTCTCAACATAGCGGCCAGTCGCGCATTATTCGTGCCGGCACCGACCAAACCCATGGCGAATATTGCGTTGTGCGCTACCTCGGGGTCGCTGTCGTGTGAAAATTTGGACAGCGTGTCCAAGATATTCAGTTTCGGATTCGATACCGATATGAGACCAAGAGCTAGCGGCACCGAGCGGCGAATCACAGGCTCGCAATAACGCAGAAGGTGGCCAAAGGTCCTGTAAGCCATCTCGGCACCAATCTCCTCTCCCATGGCGATCAAGGCAATACCGAGGACAGCGATAGCCTGCTTGGAGCTGAGATCCTTTTCCTTCTCCTCTTTTTTCTCTTCCTTCTTATCTTTGTCTTTACGCTCGCCCTTTTCCTCCTTTTCGTTGCTCGACTCATAGTGCTCCGAGCAAATATGCAGCAAGTGCTGGATCTTGAGAACGTTCCCTGTACCGGCATACGCGCACACCTCTACCAGCGTCGTAGACATCGACCTAAAAGGCTCATGAACTATCTCTAAAGCCGCTATAATCGCTTCCGCCGCTTCCTGTTTACCCAGGAAGCACAGTCCCAATCCGAGAGCCAAAAACCGCGCGTATGTATCTTTAAGATCAGATTCCGATTTATCCATCAGCGTATGCATAATCGCTGTGGTAACGTAAGCGTTGCAGGAACCAGCAGCAACCATTCCTAATGCTAAACCAGTCATACCCAACACTTCCCAGCTCGATTTAGTGTCACTGAGGACCGGTGTCAGTAAGCCCAGCACGCCTTCTCTATTGGAGCCAGCATATGCAATACCAAGGCCAACAATGGCGCCGATACGCATGGTGTTGCTGCTGTGCAACACGTAATCGGAGAGTAGAGCCAAAGCAGGATCGCATTCATTCCTCACACCGCAGTTGACAATTCCGCAGGCCAACAAGGCACCGGACTTGATGTAGTCCTCCGACGAGTAAAGGTACTTATCGATCGGCGTCAGGCCACCATCGACGTCCCACAACAGGATCAAACCTAAAGACGCGGTTGCGCTCAACATACCATGCTCCTTGTTCTTGTACAGCCACTTGTTACCATCTTCAATCAGCAACTTGTCATGGCCGAACGCGGCGTTTACAAAACCGTTGACGAAACTTGCCGCGAGATTCTGCCGCGCTGAATCAACCTGGCCGCCACCGAATGGCGGTCGCGAGTTCTCTAGATGAGACTTGTAGACATCCTCAGGTGTCTTCGGCTCCATTATATCCAATTCACGTGCCAAGTTAAGGAAATGATTGTTCAAGTGGGAGTTGGACATTATCTCGAACAGATCGTCGTCCTCAATGGTAGCTTCGTGCAGTTCTAGGAAGATTTGCTGACGACCCAGCATGAAGGCCAATTGCTTTTGCACAGAGCTAAAAAAACATACAAATTTTACTCGAAAAGTGTCAATTATTTTCAAATATCTTGGTAAGAATTTTAGTAAAATATCTTTAGTTAAAAAAAGACCAATTATATTTCTAAATAAAACATTGAAAACATATTTACAGATCTCGACAGTTTGTGAAAATCGATTCGATTAGTGGTAAATCGTTCAGTTGCATCGCCAGTCTGATTGCTTGCGGATATTGCCCAAATTTTCGATATAATTTACAGGCAACATGAAGAAGAGTGCTGTTCTCCGGGTCGGCTACATACGACACGCAGCTCGTAAGATAGAGACACACACGCTGGTACGCACTTTCATCGACGTACTGTTCCAACAAGTCCAACCTCTCGATTTCCATTAGGAGGTCACACGCCTCTGTTTCTGCATTATGTGCCATATTGTAGGGTACAATCTCGTGCACCAGAGCAATCAATTTTTTGTTTGTTGCTTCAACATTGTCGCCCGTGACTTCATCCCATTCTCCTGCCAGTTCTCCTGACAAGTGTCTAACATATTCATGTCCCCATTCACCAATCGCCAGTGCCGAGCCCGTGAGTCTATACTTTAAACAGTCTCGGCCCTCGCCCATAGTCATTGCCAGAACCGAAATAATATCGGAACATAATTCCTTACATTTGACATTGGTCATCTTTTCGTGTATGCTTTTCATAGTGTCATAGTGGGGTCGCATAAATTTCAATGGCTTTGGTACGCTCGTCATTGATGTCGTTGACGCACGAATATGCGAACGCAAGGATTCCAAAGCAGGATAATGAAGCTTGGTATTGGTATCCTGCAGGCGCTCCACAAGCAAGGTTAACTCCTCTTGTAGAAGCTTATCCTCTTCCGACTAAAGGATAAAATGCATTTTTCATTATTTTCATTTATCTTGACTACAATTATTTACTTAGTTTCGACATTTTTAAATTTAGAATCATTATTTGAAAAAAAGTAAAAGTAATTGCAAGGACACCAAACCGTTCAATCATAATTACCAGACTATTTAGGAATAATTACTCAAATGTAATATAAATTACAAGAGCACTGCATCAGGTGGCCTTTATTTATATAATTTATATACTACTGATACAGAAATTGCAAACACAAATTTAATTTGCAATGAAATTAAAATCTCTCTTCGATGACAAAGCGACAAGTATCAATCGAATGCAGGTTAATTTCTCACCAGTTCATTTTTATCATCTTCTTTGCCATTCTTCACCTCTTTGATCGGTTTTGCTTCCGTCTTGGTACTTTCCGGCATTTTATTCACTTACTTTCTAAACAAATAAACCAAACAATTAAGCAATTTTTGCCCTCAACAAGCCTGTTCGAGATTTGAGGTTAAAATATGTATTTAAGAGGTTTTGCGAGTCACCATCACGGATACACTACATAGAGCGGCAACCGTATCACAGTATAACAAGTAGGGGCACTCTCTGTCGGCACCTTTGATCTGGGCGTTCTCACTTTTCCGCCATGTTTTCATAAGCGCCAATAGTGTAAAAATCCTGTAATTAGTCATTAGAAAAACATGGATGCGCAGTACAGATCGGCGCGAACGTGAAACAAAAGAACGAGTGACCCTACTGGTTATACTGTGTTAAAAGTATAAAAAGATTATTGTAACAAAATGACACACGTTTCTCATATATTTAACAATTATTTACTATTAACACACGATTGGTTCTATGCAAAGCTAATAAATCTATTGATTGATAATATAAAGAATAATGTTAAAAAGAAACAGTTAATTTATAGTAAACTATAATATCTATTAGATACTTGATTTTTAAATTAAAGTTAATGTCAGCACATATTCTTGTCTTGTTACCTTCAAGCAGCCATCAATCTGCAGTCAATATGCTGTTAATTGCGAATGATAAATTGACAACACGAGTTATCGTCAAGTTGCTGTCACAAATTACCTTTTTGCGATTATCAGATTCATGCTGACACGTTGCACTCAATTTGCCGTTGTTAGAATTAAAATTCACGTGAGTTCAAATCGACATACACAATGCTGACTCACCTTGTTCTGAGTTTTTCGAAATTAGTTACTTTAACGATTATTGGCAATATGGCAGCAAACTCGGCGCATTTGGCTATCTGGATAATAAAAAATTTTAATAATTCACATCAGAATTATTAAAATTAGAAGTATTAAAATAATTCAATGATCAACAAGTTCAAGTGTTGTCACAATTAGTATTTATTTTTTAATAACTTACTTCTGTGTACATGGACGGAAATTTACGTTGTCGTTTACATTAGTACGTTACATAATTATTATTCATTATTATTGAGCCATTTCATGAAATGCAACATAAAACAAGTGTAATTTATTCTTTAACTCAAAATAAAAAAACTTGTAGAGAAATTGAAAATTTGAAGTAAAATGGAAAGTTTGAAGCAATAATAGAAAATATATTATAGACAAAATCAAAATGTCTAACTTATTTTATTTCAGAAATGTCTCAAAAAATCATATTACTTATGGTATGACCCAATATTTGCTATTCACATGTGTATACAGGGTGTCCCACCCCAAATAACTTCTTATTTTTGATCGCAGAAAAAAACGTTTTACACAAAAGTTGTTTAGTTCGAAGGGGGACATAAGTTGGTGCCATTAGTTTGACCTTGACGAGTTGCTTGAAGGTCACGTGAAGGTCACCTTCAATTTTTTTAATGGAACGCCCTATTGTTTATTATACTATCTTTTTCTACTAATTAATATGAACAACTTTCGTCTGAAACATTTTTTATTTGCCTAATACTTTTTAAGATATTCAAGAGAAAATTTGTAACTTTTTCAATGTTTAGCTTATGATATCTCGATAGCTCTTTTTCGGAGGGAAAAATAGTACAGGACTTTTTTACTTTATTTGGTCTCAAGAATATGCTGTTGCAATAGTGCTCCAATTATTGAAAATTTTTGTGTATGTAAATTTGGTATACGTTACAATACACAAAAATTTTGTGTATACACAATACATATGAAATTGACATAATTCTTAATTGTAACATTGTATACATTTATTAAGTTCTAAAAGTCCCCTATGTGCTTTTGTTTTAAATATTTGTAACTTGAGTCTCGATTAAAATTTCTTAATTGCAAATAATATTTAGAAGTAAAATAAATTGCTCTTACTAAAAATATAGAATAAATCAATATAAATTTTTCATATTTGAATAATCTATGACAAATTTCATTCAAAAGCGGTAGACAAAATTATTTATTAGTTGAATTTGTGTCAATGAAGAGATAGGAATCACTTACTTTTTTACTTCCAGCCTTTTTTATATCTTTCTTTCACGTCACCCCACTTTACCAACTAGATTTACGGCGAGAGCAATTCTTTTACTTTTAAATACAATTTTCGTTAAAAAAATTTTGATTAAGATCCAAGTTACAAAGATTAAAAATAAAAGAGCACTTAGAGATTTCGTAGGACTTACAATGAATGCTGTTAACATCAAATATGTGTATTTTTGTGTCTTCCTAGTCCAAATTTACAATCTTCTATTTCACTTTTTACTTTGTTAGATCAAATGCCATCAATATAAACATTTGTTATTAAATATTTTCTGCTTTTGTTTTTAACAAATAAACTGTTTTATGTATAGTACAACTTTATACATTATAAAGTGAAACGTATTCACATATGCTTTTTATAAACTACTGATATAATAATCATCTATGTAAAAATTTAACATGTGTGATACCCGGTAAAAACTTTTCATGCATAAGCATGCATAAATATATAGTATCATATAAAATTATACATTAAATATGTCCATATATGTTTTTACATAGTAAATTTTTATACAATTCTATATAATTTTTTACATAAAAGCAAGTATAAATCTATGAAGTTATACAGAATTGTGTAGAATTCTATAAAATTATATAAAAATATGTATGGACACATTTGATGTATATTTTTATATAATTCTATATATTGTCACTTCCTCACGTCACGTGCGCGTTCTACACGTGTCACTCGCACTTACACACACGCTCGCACTCGCGCTTACGAAATGACTCGAACTCGGGTCAACGAGAAAGGAGCTTTATTAATTAAATACAGCTGAGCGGAGGAGAATCCGTCTTTACTATTTCAAAACTTGTCCGAAAATCCCGTAAACATCTCCCGTTGCTAAAGAGCGCTCCTTTATCTCCTATCGATTACAGCCCGATCCAGTCGACTCGCCAGGATCGCAATAACGCGGGCGCAACAATATTTATTCATGTTTATGCATGAAAAATTTTTTACCAGGTATATTCTAAATTATTTTGCTTATTTCGAAAATATAACTGTAGAATAAGGTAAAATTATTTTAGAGTTACAAATTACAAAGTAGAGGCGGGACAATTTTCTAAACAAAAAATTGATTAATATTTGAAATTATAGTATTTACGAGTGATTATAAGAGTGAGATAAGACAAAAATAAAAAGTATATGTATGTATAAGTATAAAAATTTTGCACATGTATTGAATACTTTGTGTATATATATATATATATATGTATAAACGCATATATGCATAATTAATTAGATAATAAATGCTAATGTCGTTTGTGAGATTCAAAATAAAGTAAATTATTAATATGTGTATATATATACCAAAAAATGTATATTATAGATATATTATTATGTATGTATGTATATGATAGATATATTATATATAGATAAATAGAGTATTCTTTTAGCTTATAGAATAAAAATTTAACTTATTGTATATTATTCTGCACGGCATTGGAAACAAATGAACAGTTTTAGTCTTCTTATAGAAACATGATTCTTTTTAAAATTTATGGAAGTACTTAATTGCTGAGTTATATCAATGTTAAAACGTTGAGAACACAGAAGCGTCTATATCATTAAGTAGCACTAGTGACGTAGTAATATTTTGGTGTATCAAAAATTAATCCAACATCATAAGATTACTTCATTAGGTATAAAGGCCTTAGAACATCTCATTAAATATTATTTAATATTTGTTTTAGTTCCATTAAATCGTTTAGCTTTCCTGTTTAAAAAGACCGTACAAAATGATAGCTATCAACCATTATAATCTTTACTTACCAAGGGTTATTCTATACTATACATAGCTGCAGATTCGTACAAGCATCAAGAAAACTATTCCCAGAACGACATCTAAGGTCTTGTTTCCAGCGCTATTCCTGAAGGCTGCGGCGTCGCCCATTTGGAACGTATGGGTAGGACTAGACATCCGGCCGTCGCCGCCGTTGCTGAATGCAAGCACTCTTAGATGGTATGCTTTGCCTGGACTCAGATTCTTGATGTCAGCTTCAAGCTTGGAACCACCTGGTATGATTGTATCGTTTGCTGTACTCATGTCTTGATCAACCTCCCATACACGTATTTTGTATCCGATCAGCGGCTCTTCCTCCAAACTCGGTTGTACGTAACGCCAGACTACTCTCACCGTTGACGGGTTTACACCATATACATTCACCGATGAAGGCGGTTTCTGCGGTGCCTTACGATAAGTTCGCTCCAGGTACCGTTCGCTCTCGGGACCTTCTCCAGCGGAGTTATAGGCCATTACCTTTAAGAAATTTATAATCCTTATTTAAATCTTTTATTTATACATTTTTAATAATTAATATTACATATACATATATTTCAAATTGACAGTTGGATTTTTCAAATATATTCTTAGTAGATGTTCGTATAGAAACACAAATAGAAGACTCTTTTGCTTTACCTTCACGTAATAATATGTATCTGGCTGCAGTCCAACGACTAGTGACCAAGGGCGGGTGGTACGTGACAAATAATAAGTAGCATCCTCCTCGCGGTTACTCTCTTTCCAATACTTGATTCTGTGACCGATGAGTTTGCCTCGCACTCGTTCACGAGTCTGTTCAATCGGTAGCCAGCTGACCTTCAAGCTGGTACTATTGTAGCTCATGGCGAACACTTGTTGTGGCGCAACCTGCGGCATGTCCTCTGCGCTGTACACCGTCTTAATTTCAGATACTGGACCCTCGCCCATTGAATTCATCGCTTGTACTTTCACTTCGTATTCCGTGTAATAATAACTGGATTGGATCGATACGACATTGCTACCAATGTTGCCATGTTCTTTTAAGGACAACGACTGAAACTCTGTGTCATGTCCTTTGCGACGCCAGAATATCTTATAATATACTCCAGGACCGTTCTGATCAGACTGACTGAGAGGATCCCATGTAATTGTAAGATCTCCGATTTTTCCTCCACCACCACTGATATTGGATGGTGCTTTCATAGGTTTGTCGGGCGGAGTGTTGTATTGAGGTGAGGGAGTTGATGGTGGGCCGTAACCAAATTCATTAAAGGCAAGCACGCGGAACTCGTACGTGGAATATGGATTTAAAATATTTTCTAGATATGCCTCTTTTCGGCCGTTATACCTATCCATCTCGACAGCCGTAATATCTAAAAGTAATTATATACGTGAAATAAAGTTGCACAAAGAAAATAGATATAATATAGAAGTTTTTGAATATTAAATTTTAAATTGCGAGCATATTGAAGGAATCACAATTAATAAGGAATTATTTCTATAAGAAATCATAATCATCAAAGACAAAACTTACTTTCTACAAGAGGAAACCATGTGCGATTCCAATTTGTTCGCGCGCTGATTGTATACATAGTTATCGGTTTGCCGTTCAGGGCACCGTTGGTCCACCGTAATGTGGTTGAAGTTTTGCCGATATTTATAACCTGCACTCCACCAGGTGGCCCCGGTGGTCCCTGCACGATCAAAGTAAGCCTGCTCGATATTTCGCCGACAGCGCTTCTCAAGATACATTCATACTCGCCGGCTTCAGTAAATGTGGCATTTATGATATCCAGATATTCACCACCGATACGTAATCGCGGATTATTCTGCATATCCTTATTACGGATGCGCATACCATTATGCGTCCAAATATATGCTACGTCCAACATTTCGTCTGATTGGACTAAACAGCGCAATGTCAGATTTGAATTGTAGTCCAGAACTATCAGTGGCGGCAGTCTTTGAATAAATTGTGGTCCACCTACATAAACAATATAATTAGTTAATTAGCTGCTGTGTCTAAATCTCTCTCTCCCCCCCCTCTCTATATATACATACATAAATTTTTACTATAATATAAATATCAAAGATTTACTCTGATAATTGATACACAATTTAATGCATTCTATTAACGTTTCTTTACATTAATATTTCTTGCAAATTCAAAATTTCTTTGAGTGTCAAATAATTGACTTACGTAGTACGATTAATCGACCGCGAGTTTCATCACTGCCATATTGATTTTTTGCAGTACATATGTATGTTCCCTCATCGTCTCGCGATACTGGACTGATAATGAGATTTCCACCTTCAAGAATTATCCGTCTACCGCCCGATCCAATTAAATTCCCATCTTTCTTCCAAGTAAATTTTGGCCTGGGCGCAGCTTCGGGTTTGCATACAATTGTGACGTTACCACCTTCAGCCGCATATGTCTCAGATTCCATAGGCCGTTTTTTGAAGGAAGGTTTCAATGCTGAAACATCGAATAAGTATCATACAGTGATGACACTATGGAAATAACGATCTATTATTTTCATTATTAGTGTATTGTTGGATATTGAGAGATATAAATACTCACACAACACCCTAAGCTGAGCTGATGAGTACGTTGTTTTTAACTGATTTTTAGCGCGGCACTGATACATGGCCTGGTCTCTTTCAGGATCCAAACGTCGTATGTTTAGCACATTATCTTGTATAGTATAACGATCTCTATCTTCAGGCGGTAGAGTATACGTATCCAACAATTCTCCATTTCTAAACCAACTGTAGGTTACATCCGGTATCCCAAACGCTTCGCAAGTCCAAATTAAATCCGCCCGATTATCCATGTGCTTGTCGATTAAAGGTATGGTGAAATTAGGCGCCGCTTGTATGGTCAATCGCATGGAATTTTCAATAGATGATCTGTCGTTATGCACTCGGCAAACATATTCGCCTTGATCCTCTACTCGTACATGTGGTATTATCAATACCCGATTGTAATTTGTCGTGTATGCTCCACGCGGCAGAACAGAACCCCTTCTTGTCCAATTGTACGAAGGGACAGGACTGCAAAAATTAATTATTATAATTACAAGATTCATATATGTAAATATTTTCACGCATAAAGGTATGTAAATTTAAATAGTATGTAAATGAAGTATCGCAAGTAAACTTACTATCCAAATGCGATGCATTCTAATCGTACTTCTTCTCCAGCTACTGGCGCTTCCGGAAATGATTTTGGAAAATTATTAGGAAATTTTAACTGCTGGAAGGAGGCTGAAAAATTTAGAAAATTGCTTATTATACTATCATTTTCTATTCCATCAAATGCTTAAAAGACGACTCCACTTACAGTGCATGTCCACTTTTAGTGGGAAGAATGGCCCGTTACGTCCGGTATCAGATGCAACGCTCTTAACATTGCATGAATAATTTCCTCGATCGATTGTTTCCAATGCAGAGAAGTAAAGCGCCCCGTCATGCGAGACAAACACACGTTTGTCCTCCTCAACCAAATTGGGAAAGTAATCGCGTGCCCAATAATATTTGACACCTGGAAAATGCTGCGGGGGATCGCAGTAAACTACTTTGCCCCAATGATTATCTCCGCGCTCCTCAGAACGTTTCAAATTAAACTCCAAGATGTATCCAAATGACAGTTCAACGCTCTCAGAGATAATCGTGCCAAATTCATTGATTGCCTTGCAATGATACGTACCACGATCTTGTGTCTGTAAGCAATAAATAATTAAGTAAAATGGACTGATATCCATTAACACATATACATGAGATGCTATTTTAAATGACCCAGGCAAATCAAGGTTGAATTTATACCTCTGTTGTACGCACACAGATACAATGGCCGCGTTCAGCAGGCACAACTGTTGAGTGAGCGCTCAATGATTTCTTAACATGATTGGCTGGATCTGAAAGTATTAACCAATCATACTGAGCGCTCACTCAACAATTGTGTCTGCTGAACGCGGCCTTTTAGATCCAGCCAATCATATTAAGAAATCATTGAGTGCTCACTCAACAGTCGTGTCCGCTGAACGCGGCCAACGATTTCTTAACATGATTGGTTGAATCTAAAAGTATTAGCCAATCATACTGAGCGATCACTTAACAGTTGTGTCTGCTAAACGCAGCCAATGTAAAGCGGGGGGGAGTACACACTTTTGCATAAGTGCATAAGCTTATATTGTACATAACGAATTTGATTGGTCTATAAGCAAGTGCATAAGGAAATGGAGTCAGGCTCTGGAAACGGTACTATCTCCCTTCGAACCAACAACTTTTATCCCAAGTGTTTTTCATATTTTGTATACCTTTTGAGATCTTTGCCTGGGTTATTTAAAATGGGATACCCTCCATATTAGTTCAATACAAGTTTCTAAAGCGATACTTTCTGATACAACGTTTGAAATAGAATCTAAAGATAATTTTACCTGTTCTGGCTCATAAATGATTAAAGTTCCACCGCTCACGGTGTATCTGGTATTTGAAAGAGGATCTATTTTCGTTGCAATAAGTCTGTCGTTTTCATAATCTTCCTTAAACCATTCGTAATTAGGAGCAGGGTAGCCTCCTGCCAAGCAACTTAGCGAAACGTCGTTGCTTATTCTCCTTTTTGACACATCGAATACCTTGCTGGTGGGTTGCTTTATGAAATACGGTCCTCTCGGTATTTGAAGGGGGTTCTCAATATCAACTCCATATTGATAAGTGCGATCGTCGTCCACTAAATTATGAAGAGTGACAACAGACGCTTCACAAATGTACAACAAGTCTTCTCTGCCGGTGACTTTCTCTAGTCCCCAGCGCTGGAGACTATTGGAATAGGAGTAAGCTAAGTAATCCCTTCCTATTACATTGTCATTAGGCTCGGGCAGAAAGGCATTGTCCATGTTCAACAGCGTTGTACTATCAGCCTCATTGATCCACAGGCCACTCTGGAGTTTTACTCCGGTGTACCATTTGCGATGTTGCGGATCCTGCCACAACAGTTGGTAGAGTATAAACCCATGCTCCTCAATTGAATTAATAGCGAGCAAGTCGCTCTGGAACGCCTGGCAATTTCTGCGCGCATCGTCCCGCAGTCTTAGCGGACTCTTGACGAAACGATAGCACGATTCTTGAAATCGTGTCCAATGTTGGGGACACTCGTAGGCTTGTTCCCCGTATAGGATGTTTTGTGCGAGTGCGGGATGCGAGAGAATTAGTGAAAATACAGTGACGGTTAATAAATGAAACATTATTCCGAATGTCTTGTAACTATACACCAGACATTTTACAATTTCCACAAGGTAAGGTGTTACTAATCCCGATTGCGAATATTACGACATTAGAATGTGACTTCGGAGAATACAACAGCATTGACAGAACATATTTCTCAACAGACACGCTTTGTAGATGACCACTTGATTAATAGGTGCAGTCTCGTTCACAAGTTTCGGCACGCAATTGAGGCGTCCAATCGAAAGGTTTGCTGTAAAGATGAATAACAAGGTGGTATTCACTTAAATCTTGCGAATCTATGGCGAATGATGCTTTCGAAGGGGACAAAATTAAACAGATAATAAAATAAGAAAATTCGTTAAATAAAAGCACAAGTATGAAGTCACGATGCAACGCTACATCGCTAGACACTCCCTGTTGACGAACAGTAACGGAAATCGACGAACGTCGACGACACCATGGGGAATGTAAAAAGGGAGGCGAGCAAATGCGCATATTGACGGCTATTGGACGGCAGCGTCCAATGAAATTGAGGCCCAAGTGCGCCCGCGAAATTCGAACGCAAAAACAGTCACATACGAGTAACATATACTTAAAATTAAGATTTGTGAAAAATTTACTTACTTTTAATTGTCCTCGTAAACTATATCTTTTCCAGATATTGGGTTTGTTTTCTGTTCCTGCACTGGTGAACTAGTGCAGTAAGCTAGAATGAGAAAAAATATGCTTGTCTTACTCCAATTTATTGCACTAGTTCACTATAAGTGTAGGGACAGAAAACAAGCCTATTATATCTGGAATATATATCGAATAAAATTATAGTACAAGAATGCTTTCGTAATGATAATTGAAAATGATTACGTATGTGGAGAAGAGATATATAATTTACAAGGACAATTAAAAGTAACTAAAGTAAGTAAAGTAAATAATGTAATGTAATTTTCTTTCTCATGAACGCGGCCATTGGCTGCGTTCGGCAGAAAAAGCTGCTTTGCAGCTGTTGGAAAATTCATGGATCTGATTGGCGTATGCTCTTAAATTTACTCGAGATTAAGAGAATACGCCAATGGCCGCGTTCAGCAGACACAACTGTTGAGTGAGCGCTCAGTATGATTGGTTAATACTTTTAGATCCAGCCAATGCTCGCGTTCAGCAGACACAACTGTTGAGTGAGCGTTCAATGATTTCTTAACATGATTGGCTGGATCTAAAAGTATTAGCCAATCATACCGAGCGCTCACTCAACAGTTGTGTCTGCTGAACGCGGCCAATCATATTAAGAAATCACTGAGCGCTCACTCAACAGTTGTGTCTGCTGAACGC